ATTATCCTACATTCCTACTTATACATCTACCATTTTAAAGATGGAAAGTACATCTTCCCTTATGCAAAACAATTTTGATAAGTGGAAGGACCCGAAGACCGGACTGTGGTGGGCAACTTGCAAGTGGTGCAAGAAAGAGTGTAGCTTGGGGCGTTCACACGGATACGGGATGCCAATAAAACATATGAAGTCCTGTGACAAAGGGAAAACAACAACCAACGGTGGCGGAAATCCCAATTGATATTTATTAGAAAATGTATTTCATATTGTTATTTTTTTCTCAATTGACAAATGTAGTTCCTATTTCAAATAAATGCACTTGAAATTTGTTTTTAATAAGAATTTGTATAATATATAATAATTAAAAAATAAAATATAAATATGACCCGGCCCGACCCGGTGGGTGGCCCGACCCGTGACCCGGGCGAGTGTCCCGGGCCGGTCCCGGGCCTACCTCTACCTGACCCGAGGCCCGACCGGGCCTTGGCCCGGCCCGGGTCCATCACTGCCAGCTAGGCTGGAATGCTTGGTTATAAATCACAAATTTTCTACTAGAAAGAAAAAATAAGTTTTTATTGAATAGGACAAGCAAGGAAAAATGAAGTTTATGACTGGGAGACCGTTTGGCAACACAGTTTTTTGGCTTATCGGGCTTATTAGCCAACTTTTTCACCAAACACGTAACTTTTGCTTTCGCGCGCTGAATTGTGTAATAAGCAGAAAAAGTATGGTTGAAGTTACTTTTTTGGCTGTATTGGCTGAAGTTACTGTAGATGATCATTTTAGCTATTTTTACCTATAATTTTTTTCTTTGTTTTATTCATAAAATATATTTTAAAAATAATTTTTCTTAAATCAGTAGAATCAGCCAATGCAACCACTTCAGCCAGAACTTCATAAATTTCAGCAACATCAGCCAAATCAGCCGAATTCAGGACCGTGAGCTTTTGCCGCCGAAGTCTAATCAGGGTTGAATCCAGTTTATGGCGCGGGACGTCGCCTGGAGGACCAGCCTCCATGGAGTCAATTTCATCTCTGTACTTAGTACCGTCCGAGTAGGTGCTGGAGGAAGAAGAACCGTTGCCGGAGTCTTCGCCAGAACCCTCCGCATCCGCATTTGTTTTCGCCGCCGCGTCGTTGACGGCATCGTTAAGAGGGGCGTTTGTAGCAACCTCTGCGGCAGATCATAAGGTTCAAATCATAACAAAATACAAAGGTATTGCAAGTTGCACACACCCTAAGTCCAAAACACTGATTCATGCCGCTTAATCCAAGATGCCTATGCTGCAGTATCTCATGTGCCCAAGCTGCGACATCCAAGAGGTCCATGCCACGGCATCCAGAAAATCCATGTCGCAGTGACGCAGTGTACAGTGTGACCATACCGCAGTATACATATCGTGGCCTCCCACTTGATTTTGGCCCACTCAAAAGTTTATCAATTCATATGGATAGATACTATAGAGTATCTTATAGACGATATGCTTAATCTTGGCTATAACGTCCTCCTCAGTCTTCTTGCCATCATCAAAGCGGATCTCATTTCTTGCATGCCATATGTAATACACCACGACGCATAGAGCAATTCGGGCTGCCTTTGCTTTCAACGTTGATCCTCTGTGCTTCTTCGAAATCCATTTGATTGAGCTAAGCAATGTAGACATTTGATGCCCAAATCTCATCCATTCTCGAATCTTGCCCCATACCCTACAAGTAAATGGACATAGGAAGAATAGGTGTGGAATTGATTCCAATCCACCCTTACACAAGTCACATCTATTAACAATATGGAGATAACCGAGGCTATCTTGGGTAGGCAACCGGTTCCTCAAAGCCAACCAAACATTAAATGAAAATTTCGGGGGGATATAAGATTTCCAAATGAAACTCATTGGCGGAGGCAAGTTTGCCATTAATGCTTCTAGTGTTAAGGCCCAAAATCATATCATTCAAATTATTAAAGCATCGACAGATTTTATCTCTAATTTGCCCCAACCTCTTCATCAATTGTGAGTCACGACTATGTGGGATAAAATCCCACACACTTCTCCCATGGAGATATATGCCATTAACCCATCGAACCCATAAGGTATCTTTTTTGTTATGGACATCCCATAGTGTGCGAGCAAGGAGGCTATCGTTCCATATTCTAGCATTGTGGATTCCCAAGCCACCCTCCTCTTTTGGGAGACATATGTCATCCCAAGCCACCTTTGAAAACTTGCCCCCCATAAGAAGATTCTACAAAATGAAACAATCCTATCCAACACAGTTTGTGGCACCGGGAAGACTTGGAGCCAAAACGATTGGACCCCTTGGATCACCGATCGAATTAGCTCTATCTTACCGGCATAGGAGAGTGTTTTCGTATTCCAAGCGTTAAGGAAGTCTTTGACTGTATCTAATAACGGTGCGTATTACGCAACCGATATTATTAAAGGGGCAAGGGGTATTTCAAGATATCTAACCGGAAACGTACCTTGCCCAAAGTCGACGAGGCTTAAAATGATTTGCAAGTCAAGGTCCCTCACCCCACCCACGAAGATATTGGATTTTCCGTGGTTCACTCTAAGGCCTGATGCATCTCCAAATTCTTTAAGAGATTCGACCAATATTTCTATGGAATAGGTATCCCCTCTCGAAAAGAGCATTAGATCATCCGCATAGGCCAAATGGGTAATACCCAAAGAAGCGCATTGGGGGTGGAAATTAAAATTTCCCCCTCGGGTTCTCATGGTGAGCAACCGGGAAAAATATTCAAGGCATAGAACAAAGAGCAATGGGGACATTGGGTCCCCTTGCCTTATGCCTCTTCTACCTTCGAAAAATCCATACAAAGATCCATTAATTGAGACCGAAAAGGAAACGGTAGACACACACTCCATAATCCATGCAATAAATCTAGGAGGAAAGCCCAAACCCCCTAAGACTTTTTCGAGAAAGTCCCACGATATCGTGTCATAGGCCTTGTGCAGATCCACCATAATCATACATCTTGGCGAGATCCGCTTCCTATTGTATCCTCTAACAAGTTCCTGGGCTAGGAAAATGTTATCAAACATAAGGCGGCCATCCACAAAGGCACCTTGGGCTTGATTAACCAACCCTGAAAGGCATGGATTCATTCTAGCCGCAACGATTTTCATAATAACTTTATATAAGACATTCGTGCACGATATGGGTTGATAGTCCGAGACCTTCGGGGAGTGGGTGGTCTTTGGGATAAGCGCAATAATAGTGTGATTGATCTGTTTTAGCAACTTTCCCGACACAAAGAACTCCCTAACCGCTCGAACCATGTCCTGTCCTCCCCAACAATATCCCAATTGGATTTGAAAAAGGCTGAGGAGAACCCATTCGGCCCCGGTGCCTTGTCATCCCCAATGTCAAACAAGGCATCTTTAATTTCCTTATTTGTTATTACAGGAGCAAGAAGACCATCATGAACACTTGGTTCAATCAAGGGGCCAGTTCCTAAAACCAAAGGGTCAAGGTCAAGGTTCTCCGTACAAGTACCAAATAAATCAACAAAAAAATTTACAAACTCATTCGCTACATGATCTAAGGATGTGGTAAGGGTGCCATCTTCCAAAGATATGGATGAAATTGCATTCCGTGCCATATTCCTCTTCACGATAGCATGGAAATACCTCGTTCCCCTATCTGCCTCAAGAATGTGTCTGGCTTTGGCTTTTTGTTGGAAGAAGGATGTTTCGGCATCCCCATAAAACATTGCCCTTTTTTTAGCCACCACAACCCGGTCTTTAAGCCCCTCATCCAGAGGAGATTGGAGCAACAATTTATTCAACGATTTAAATTCTTCCTTTGCCGTCTTGGCTTTTGTTGTGATGTGGCCAAACTCCAATGTATTTAGCTTCTTCAACGGTGCCTTTAGCGCCTTAAGCTTTTTTACAAAAGAGTATTAAGCTGTACCAACAACAAAAACACTCCAAGTCTACGCAACAATATTAGTAAAATCACAATGTTTAATCCACATGTTAAAGAACCTAAAGGGTTTCGGCCTTAAAGAGGAATCTTGGAGTATTGATACTACGGTAGCCGTATGATCAAACTCCGCCTCCATTTCATGGAAATGGGCCTTACAAGAAATACCTTTAATTCCCCAAACATCATTCAATAAGACACGATCAAGCTTGGCCCATAAAGAGTCCCTATTCCACGTGTAGAATTCACCCGTGGATGGGGCATCTTCAAGGTTAGACCGCAATTTAAAATCAACGAGATCTTGCATCATGTACGCCGTAGGTGGGGTAGACCCCCACCGTTTCGTTTGGGGCGCACACACAATTAAGGTCACCCGCTAGTAGCCATGGTTCCGTAATACGGTCCCCAACTGTAGCGAGATATTCCCAAAGTGCCCTACGCTCCAAAACGGTGTACAAAGGATACACAAAAGACGCCCAAAAAACAGTTTGAGTGGTTCGGCACATGCATTTAAAATGTATATGTTGGCCCTCAATTTCTTGAACAACACAATTAATTAAATTCGGGTTCCACATTACCACCATTCTTCCACCATCAATTTTAGAAAAATTATTTTCAAAAAGCCAACCCGGCCACTTGTTCGAAATAAAATTATTTAATTTAACCAACGTTAATTTTGTTTCTAAATAACAGCAAAAGTTAATTTTATTACGTTTAACAAAATCGGTAATAGTATTATGTTTGGAGGTTTTACTCAAACCTTGCACATTCCACGAAGCAACTCTTATCATCAATAGAGAGAGAAAATGAACCAAGCTCTCAAGAAAGATAGAGGTCCGAAGCATATGCATCATCTTCGGGGTCTATCCCTCCTTTGTCCTTCTTTTACTTCCTTGCTCTTCTCCTCATTTCTTTAAGATACTTTTTATTCCTGTCTTGGTTAGCATCAAAGAAAGATAAGACACGTTAAATAAAAGCAGGTTTGTCAAAGTCATACCATTCACCTTTTTTCTTAACCTCCGGGCAACTTAGGAGAGAGTCCTCTGTAAAAGTGACTCCGGATTCATCAAAGTAGACTGGTTCCAGTTTTGACCCTAGCTTGACTGTGACCACTCCTTCAGGAACTTCGTCTGGTGCCCAAGCATACGCAACAGTAAGGATGGCAATGGGGGCGGGGGCCCGTGGGGAACCGCCCCGTGGGGGGGAGTTGGGGCGGGTGGTGGGGTGGGGCGGGTGGTGGGGTGGGGGAGATATTTTCTCCCCGCATAAATATGGGGCGGGTGATGGGTTATGCACCCCCCGCACCGTCCCCGCCCCGTCCCCCCGTAATAATTAATAATAATAATCTCAATAATAATACTAATAATAATAGTAATACTAATACGAAGTAATTAAAATAGCATGGTGGCCCGGTGGGTTTAGTGGTTTCCTATCTAATGGATTGTGCGTAATGGATCTATCTAATTCTTGTTTAATAACTAAGCTATCTTGTAAAATTGCTTATCAAAATCATAAAGTAAAATGATTTTTTTAGAGATAAAATAAAATGAATTTGGGAAAGTTATAAAGTGATATTAGCTTAAACGCCTCAGGCACGGTGTGAAAGTTTTTTTCCTTTACTATTATAATGCATTAATTCTTTTCTTTTGAATGTCATCTTTATGATTGTAGTTAGGGCTCTTAAAATTTGGTGATCACATGTCGTCCTAGATGCCGTCAAATGACTATGATTGATTGAATGCAGGGTTTAAGAAAATATTATAGAGCTAATCAATGCTAATTTAGAGTTTGATAAAAATTACTAATTTAGAACGCGTATAATGTGTTCTAGATTTGAAATGGGATGTAAGATTACATTGACACTTAAAAAGTAAAAAAAAAAAAAAAAAATTGGCTACTAGAAGTGTTGTTAAATTTTTGAAAAATTGTCAGAGTCTAAAATGATGTTAATTTTTTACGAGTACTTCCCCGTTGAGTACCCGTGGGTCTAGCGGGTCGGGGCGGGGGATGGGGCGGGTCGAATAGTAGTGGGGGATGGGGCGGGGGCGGGGGCGATTTTTTAGACACGGGGCGGGGGATGGGGGAGTGAACCCCCGCCCCAACCCCGCCCCATTGCCATCCCTACGCAACAGTCTTGCTTTTCTCATTTAAAATGACCATGGTTACAACATCGTCAATGCCCATCTCATACATGTTTGTAACTAAGTAGCCTTTGCCCCCATTAAAGGACTGGTCCCCTCGGTTTTCTTCATATGCAGCGGGAGGCAGTAGGTTGGCAGCTTCTTGAATGGCAAGTTGCTCTTTAGTTCGCAAGAAATCCAAGTTTTGGTTGGCCTGGACATCAAAGAAACACGCAACATTAAGGAAAAAAATACTTAAATTGAATGCATACCATGTTCTAGTGCGCTTCACTCCGGGAAGGGCGACCAAGCAAGGGTCCGTGAATGCCATGGCAGGGAGATCCGGGTTAGTCTCTTTTTGGAGGTTCCTTCCAAGCCTAGTCACTGGAATATAGCTTTTAATTTGGTGCCGCTTTTTGACGAAGGCTTCGTGCGCACCATCCTCTTTGGTAACAAACTTGTTAACCACGTCATCAAGTTCAATTTCATGCACACTTACAACTCGGCGCCCTTCCCACTCAAACACATCAACATTAGGAGGTGGAATTGCCATAGTAGTCGCGGATCCAGCAGCCATGGCAGGGAGTTTAACTGGCAGTTTGCTAGGAACATTGTCCAGTTCCTTGTTAGCAATATGGGGTGCTTCCTTGCGCTGTGGTTGTAGCTTTGGTCCAACTGTTTTAGAAGTTGAGGCAACGTCTTTGGCAGGAGCTTCCTTCCTCACATATGCAGTTTTCTTTTTATTCCTATTTACCTCCACAAAAGGAGGCTCATCAACAAGCACAATTTCTTTTCCCTTTTCATTGGCCGAGACTTGTTTAGCTTTCCCTTTTGGAGGATTAAGTACAAGGCTTGAGAAGGGATGGTGGCCATACTTCTTACAGTGAAAGCAGTATTCCGGATAAGTTTCATAAATTATTTGTTGCATATATTCCTTTCCCGAAGGAGGGACAATAGGAAATTGCATCACCGGAGGTTTCGTAACATCAATTTCAATGAGCACTCGGGCAAAGTGAGTATACACAGTGTCCTGTGTAACTTTATCAGCAGTAATAGGAACGCCCACTTGTGAAGCAATCGTCCCCATCTCTTTTGCTTTCCACAATCTCATAGATAATTTGGGAAATTTAACCCAAATCGGTACTTTAAGAAATTCCTCACTATTGGTTGAGAAGTCTTCGGAGAGTTCCTTCAGGAACATGGTCTTTCCATGCAGGACATATGGGCCCTCGGCCAGAACATGAACACGGTCCTCCTCGGTTTTAAATTTGAAAATAACCCATCCTTTACTATGGGATTTTACATCGACCTCCACCCCCCATTTTCTGGTCATAACATGGATGGCCTTCAAACCCGGGAATCTCCCAGAAAAGTGACCAACTAAGCAGTAGCCCCAGACCTCCACAAGTGTAGGCACCTGTAGATGTGAGAAATCTAGTTTTTCCCCCGTTGGAGGGAAATACTCAAGCTTTAGGCCATTGGCAGGGGCTCGGTTGTCTCGAAATAAGGAATTCCATTGCTTGGGATCCTTGTCATTATTTTCTTGCTCCTCAGTTTGCTTCAAAAGGACCGTATCATGTGGAGGTTTTTTCGAAAATAATACTAATATAAAAAATATTTACCAAATTGATGTTGAGTTAAAAGTATTTACCAAAGTATTGCTGGGTAACTCTGGTTAACGCAGAGTCGCCAACTGATTTGGCGACTTGCATATACGTGAGAAAGCCTGCGCATAAAGCCATAAAGGAAGAGGAAAATAGTGGGACAATAGTGGGACCCATCAAAATTAAAAAAAAAACTGTTTTTAAAAAATGTGTTATAACTTTTTTATTTGTATTCGGATTGTTACAAAAAATGTACCAACGTTCATAATTTTTTTATTACCTTTCATATGACACCAATATTGCATATGTAAAAATTAAAAAATAATTTAACACTTTTTAAAAAATGTTTTTAAAAGTGTTGTAACTATTTAATTTGTACTTCGATTTTTACAAAAAAATATATCAAAATTATTTAAATTTTTATTATCTTTCATATGACACCAATATTGTATATGTGCAAATTATAAAATGTCATTATTTTTGTCTTGTATTTAAGTCAATTTTGGTCATATTTCACGTTAACCTTATAATCTATCTTAAAAAGATAACCAGATATACGCGAAAATCGGGATTACGAGGTCGTCAAGAGTCATCTTATTAATTTTATAAGTACATGTATTTATATGATACTTTTTAAAGTGCTAAAATATTTAAAGCTAAATATTTTTTTCATTTATACATCCACAATATTAATTTCGTATGAAAGATAATAAAATCTTATCAATTTGATATATACTTTGCATCAATCGGAGTAGAGATGAAAAAGTTACAACACTTATAAAAACAATTTTTAAACACTGTTAAATTAGATTTAAAAAAAAACTATTACATTGGTTTTTAATTTTTATTCATGCAATATTGGTGTCATATGAAAGGTAATAGTTTTGATACATATTTTGGAACAATCGGAGTACAAATAAAAAAGTTACAACACTTTAAAAAACAATTTTTTGTACAATTTTAAATTATTTTTTAACTTTTACATTTGCAATGTTTGTGTTATCTGAAAGATCATAAAAATTTAAATAATTTTGATATATTTTTTGTAACAATCAAAGTACAAATTTAAAAGTTACAACACTTTTAAAAACATTTTTTAAAAAGTGTTAAATGATTTTTTTATTTTTACATATGCAATATTGGTGTCATATGAAAGGTAATAAAAAATTATGAATATTGGTATATTTTTTGTAACAATCCAAGGACAAATAAAAAAGTTATAACACTTTTTAAAAAACAGATTTTTTTTAAATTTTGATGGGTCCCGCTATTATCCTCCTCTTAATTTATGCCTTTATGCCCAGCGGATTTTTTTTAAATTTATCTCTGTTAACCCTAGTTTAAACCAGTATTACTTTGGTAAATATTTTTAACTCAACATCAATTTGATAAATATTTTTTTTATTAGCTATATTTCTGAAAAAAACTCTATCATGTGACCCCAGGGAAATAGTCCCCTCGGTCTCATCAGTGCATTCCACCTCGTGTTCATCCGTAGTTTTAATGACGGGGCCATCCCCATAGTTTACTGGTTTCTCCCCAAGAGATATTTCCTGTGAGGGCCCTGCTTTTGAAGATATAGCTCCCATTCCCAAAAGAGCCTCAGTGAAAGATGCATTTGATTCCGTGGCATTGGTAGCAAGTCTCCCAGGTTCAATAGAAACCGCGGCATTGGTAATCTGTCCCCCAGCTTCAGATGCTGCCGTGGCACTAGCATTAGGTCCAAGAGTTTCAGTACAAGCCGCCGCATTGGAATCAGTGACTTCCGTGGAGTTGGCAGAAAAAACCATTCTAAATCTACATTAAATCTACTTCCGCGTAAGAGTTTCAGTACAAGCCATCCATTGGAATCAGTACTCGTCCTATTCCTCTTTTTCCGTTTTGGAGATTAAAGTTATAAAACAATCATTCTAACTTTTATTTTCATAAAAACCCATTCTAAATCTACATATTCCCTCCTTTCCATAAAATAGTTCTCGCATTGACTTGAATCAGAGTTTAAAAAAATAAGAATAAAGTGGAAATTTATGATTGTGATTGTGTAAGAAAAAGGTAAATGAATGTGAGCCACACAAAACTTTCCAAAAGGGGAAATGAAAATTATTTTTTGGGATAGTCCAAAAAGGAAATCGAGAACTATTTTGCGGGACGGAGGGAGTATATCTTAAATTTTGGGATGGAGGTAGCAGCAATTTTCTTATCCCTTAATCTTAAGAAAATGTTTCTACTTCTATCGTTGAACGAGATGGACGATTCTAACTTTTTTGGTTGAAGAAAAGATATATAGTGTGTCCCCACCGCACTAGCAGCATATGAAAGCTAGCTAGGTTTTCACAATGTTGGGCCATCAATAATTCATTCCCTTGGATGGGATCGCATTCTTTTATGCTTGCTTTGTCCTATCTTACAATTGTGTAGATGTAAAATAGTAGCTTCGTCCCTTAAAACTTTGCTAAGTTTGACCGGCACGAGGATTAATAAAATAAAATCTGTGTGGTTGAGATTTGTGCATAGGAGAGAGAATTAACGGGAACCACAAATTCTTTACTTAAAAGGAAAAATGACAAAGTTAGTGAGACATCCAAAAAATGAAAGTTGACAAAGTTTTAAGGGACGATATAAAATATTCCGTGCATCAAATCTCGAGTGGGAAGCGTTTTGCACACATCACCCTTGCCCACTCTACGCCTTTGCCATTGATAGGACGTGGAGAGTTTTTTTCATAATTCATAAAAAAATTAGTATGGGGTGGGGTAATTGGTAGCTGTTCTTGGAGGCCTTTTTATAGGGTGGCCTATCATATTCCTGGCATAGGTGTTCTTTGCTATACTTTCCTCGACACCGTACATGTCAAACTATTAACACTTCAAGTACATTAGTGTCCAGCTAACCTCCAAATTGGTTGAAACACTTTAATTTGTGGAGTAGAATTTTATAAATCTATAATAACATTGACTGAATATTCTGAATTATAAAAAATATTTAAAATATATTTTATTAATAAAATTAAAACAACCTTACTTATTTATATTTAAAATTATAAAATTAATAAATTTTATTTAAAATTGTTTTCTATTATAATTTCGGCTAATTCAGCTATAAAAGTAACGACAGCCTTACTTATTTTCATTATAACACAGTATTGTCACTATTGTGCGTAAAATCATAAACTACATACGGAGTATTTAGTACAAAATTGGCTAATGAGATTGATAAGCTGAAAATAGAGGTTACCAAACAGACTTTATTTTGAATAACACATCTACTCTCTTTTTTTACCATCAAGCCATCTGGGTACCCGTAAATAAACGGCTCGGGTCGGACTCAAACCGGGCTTTTGTAACATTTTTGCTCATTGACATGGGCAACCCCGTTTCAACGCATATCTTGATCAAGTAAATACTACTACCTCCGTCCCAGGGAGAAGTTCCCAATTTCCTTTTTTGGTAGTCCCAACAAAAAGTTCCCATTTCCTTAAATGGAAAGTTATCCTACATAAAAACAGTGCCAAACAGTGCAAAACAGTGCCAAACAGTGTCGAAACAGTGCCAAACAGTGTCGAAACAGTGCCAAACAGTAAAATTTACCCCTCAGTAACTTTATTTCCTTAATATGTGTGAAAGTCAACCCGGGAACTTCTCCCTGGGACGGAGGGAGTATATTCATTTAATTAGGAATTGGTTAAATTTAACATAATGAGAATTTTCAATCTAGGACATGAAAGAACTATTTACTATCAATAAGGGTTTTCAAAAATAAAATGTGTCAATATATGACTAAAATAATTGACAATTATCAATCAAAGACCCAAAAAATCATAGAATTTGATTCATTAGATTTATTTTTGTGTTTTTTTTTTCAAAAATATTATGAAAATAAAACTTATTTACACAAGAGTTTTTTCCTAAAACATTACTAATAAAAAATCTGTGGACAAAAAAGTGACCATAAATTACTATGAGTAAGTTTTATAGTCACTACAATATAAGTTTTGAATACACTTCTAAGTCACTAAAGTTACTAAGGTCACATTTTTGTCCACTACTTCTGTTTTGATTATATATTTGAAATAATTTCATTTACACAAATATTTTGCCTAATAATTACTACAATGCAGTGTCATGGTAACTTAAGTCTAAATTGAACATAAGTTCCTATGATTTCATTACTACTTTAATCACTAGACACATTTTCGTAAACAATCTTTATTTTAGTCATAAATATGTAATTATTTCTTTATTCATTCCATCGCTAATTATTTATGATTTTTTCTTCTCAAAAGTGTATCGATTTAATAAGTTTAAATAATATTAAAATTCATGATAGTTTATGTCTTAGATTGTTAGTTTAATTTGTAATCATTTGGGCCGTATACCAAGACATGTTATTTTCAGGTCCCTTATTAATAGTGACCTTATGTTTCAGCTTCTGAATCGATAACATTTCATATGAGAGAATGTACACGCTATAGAAAAATTATGTCAACCCATTGAAATATTATATGCTATGAGTATTTGCGATAAGAAATACATATTAAATCCTGATTTTAAGATCACTCACCCTTTGAATCCATCAATCCAATTCAAATAACGTCTTTTTTCAAGCGTTGGACGAAATGCATCTTTGGTACATCAATTGATAGGTATAATAGACTTAATGTCAGATCCACCAGAACAAATGGTTTATTTACTCATTCAAGTACTCCAATTTATATGAAGGACTTTATTTAACGGAATATATTATTTCTTGCTAAAGACCCATAACGGGGTGGTGTACTCTACTGTTTGAACATCAAATGTTGGATATCTCACTCGCAGACTTGTTGAAGTAGTTCAACACAATGTGATGCCGAAAAAGGATTTTTATCCAAACGTTAAACGATATATTTATAGGCTCACACTATATTGCCACCAGGAACCAAAACATTGATTTGGACATTCAAATATATTTATAAAATTATGAGCCTAATCAAATATTGATTAGAACTCTCTTTACTTGTTGGAGTACATCTTGGATTTGTCAAAGCTACACACATGGACAAGAAGGCATTCTTAAGAAAAACTGAAATATAGAAAAATGATTCCGTTACTAACCACCAAAACACATCAACAATCCAATATCAACTATTTCATTTGTTTAGCCGGATCAAAAGTGCTTCTTTTTCCCAGAATAAACATTAATGGGAAGGGATGTAGTTAAAATGAAAATGTCGTAGTGTGATAGTGTCAAACTGTAATGAACAAGTAGAAAACGGATTTGGAGCATATATACGTTGGAAAAAAGTTCCTAATGTTAACTGTTAAGATACTTTAAATGCCTCTCTTGTCATGAGGTTTAAACTCATCCACCAACGTTCAAGGAACAAAGAGCAGGTGAAAAACCTCATGTTTGAAGGTACAAACTTTTTTTCAAATGACTTTAAAAGTCAGGATTGAATACCTACCAAACATTGAACCAGTACTTGCATACTTGATGAAATATCTACAAACATTAGAAGTCTTGAAAACCTAATAAATCCTAGATTGATTAACCCCCTGACTAAATTCATAGATATAGGCAAAAGATCAGAGACACTTCATAACCCAACAACTAAAGGCTAACCCACTAATGTTTTACGGAGTACAAAATTTAGCAACTACTTACCTTCAGAAGCTGATTACGGAAATAAAATCATAGTTGCAAAAGCTTCTTAATGTCAGCCTTGAATTTAACCATCTGCTGCTCAACTTGGCTCGATTTATCATTCACATTTTGCTTTTCCTTATGGAGCTTAGCCACCTCCAGCTTCAGCTGGATGGTACGATTGACTGCATTTTGCTTTTCTTTGCGGAGCTCAACCATCTTATCTTCAACTTCCCGCCTCTCTTTGTTTAGCTTAACCACCTCGTCTTCTAATTTCCTAACTTTGTTGATAGCATCCTGCTTCTCCTTGCGAAGGTTACACATCTCCTTGTGAGCTTCATTTAGCTCATTCCTTAATAGATCATCCCACTCCTGCTTAATGTCGGCAAACTCTTTGGAGTTCTTGAAAGATTCAACCGCAGTTACAACCTCAACCCCCTTAACAATCAAATCAGTCTTGAGCTTGTCTAGATCAGCCTTGAGATTGGTAACTTCATCCTGCAACTTAACTTTTGCATGTCCAGCCTGATTAGCCCTCTTAAGTGCGTTTTCCTTATCCCTGCGTAAGATAGTGATCAGTGTTTGGGCATCTTGCAAACACTTTATTGCCTCAGATTTTTTCTGTGAAAGGAGATTTATCTCTTTCTTCACACTGTCTAGCTCTCCTCGGATCTTCTCTGTCGGTTCCTCTGTGGAATGATCAGGATAACTGTCAAACATCTTCTGTTTCTTCTTTGGTGTTGCTGTTACAGGTGGTCCGTCAGCACTAGCTTTTCGCACTCCTGAATCAAGAAATCCATATAAGCTCCAAAAGTTCTCATATTGAAGAGGGCTCAAATACTACCTCCGTTTTTCTTTATTTGTTCAGAATTCCTTTCAGAATGATTTTATTTATTACTCAGTTTCCATTTTTGGCCATGCTTGCCTTACTTTTTATTTTATGTTTCTAACTTCTCCTTCTACATTATTCACAACTCTACTATTTTCTTCACACTCTGTGACAAATCTATTGGAACAAATAAAATCAATGAAGGGAGAAATGCAGAGGACGAAACCCAAGGACGTCTCAAAGTTTATAAGGCCTTGTGCTAATTATAAAAATAAAGATATATAAAAAAATTGCACCTTTCTTATCATATTGATCATATGATCATATTTTAAAAAAAAAAGAGCTTTTATAATTTATATAATGTAAACTATATTTTCAAAATTATAAGCCTTTTAGAATAGGAGGCACGAGTTGTAGCTTTGGAGTTTGGACGCACTCACCTGAAGAAGAGCCATCTGAGTTTTTGGTTGTGTGGCTTCAAAGTTCATTATAAGGATTATTCTTTACCATCAGAAGCTAAGATGGCATAAAAGCAATAGCAAGAGTAAAAAACAGAAAACATTAAGAGTAATATGACCACGAAGTCCGTCAGTCCACAAAAAAAAACTTCAGTGGCTTTGGTTGGCATTCTTAGATGGAGTGGTCTTTAACTGTGCGTTTTCAGTTTTGAGTAATGTGACCTGGCTATATCACTTATAAGTTACCAACACAGCTGATTACAATGTCAATACTATAGATTGAAAAGAAAAACTAAAGCCAATAAAGAAAATGACAAAATGGACACTTATAAGTTTTATAAGTCAACTTGTGAGCGCTTCTCCACCTGAATCAGTATCTTTAAGCACAATGGACACTTATAAGTTTTAGAGTTAATTACCCTAGGTATGACTAAAATTCCATCATTTTTTCAATCTAGGACTTAATGAGTTTTTTTCCCAAAATAATATCAAAATTCGTAATATTTAATTAATATATTAATAAATAATTAATTAAATATTTTATATGGACTAATATGCCCTTAGCTAATCATTATAAAACCTAACATTCTCCCACCCTAGTTGTAGCCCACTTGCCGTACGGTCTCCCCTGCCCCTCCGTCCAGCCGTCTACCATCGCCGCTCAGCCGCCTACCATCTCCGCCCAGCCACCGTCTGCCTCTTTCATCCAACCTCTTTCTCATCTTCATCCATATCAACAAGATTAGGATGAGGAGGCTTTGATTCCGGCGGTTCTGGCAGATTTGGGGATCGATTTCTCATGGCCACGATTTCCTTCGATCTGTCCCATCGTCCAACCGTTCAGCCACCGTTTGACATCCGCAATAGATAAATTGATTTCGAATTCGAACGGGAAAAAGAAGTGTGAGGCTAGAGGTGGAGAGATTCGTTGATAGCGTTCAAGAGTGAGCACTCTCCGCTCTGTTTGTGATACGCAATGAGAGATACGAGGGATTAGATCTAAGGCCTAAGGTTGTCGCTCAAATTTAGTACGGAGTACTTTTATCTGTTTTGGGGTTTCTTTTCTTCACTTTTTGTGAGTGGCCAAATTGCAATTACATACAGAGTATTAGCTATGATGAATGCCTTCGTATCTATTTTAGCCATTTTGGAATGAATTTACCTCTCATGTACAGATTTACATGCTACACTACAATCACATTTTTCATGGGCAGTGAATATGTGCACTAAATATAGGCAGTAAAAATGATTATTGTTGATTATGGTGAGTAAATTTATGATTTTTGGGCATGAAACATAGGCATTGAACATTGGCATAGAACTGGCAATAATTGTTGAATATGACAAAGAATATGGTAATATATTATATATATTGTACATGGCAGTGAATGAATGCATCAAGAAAGATTGGTGTGCAGTGATTATGATTAGTATTGCAGTAACACAAAGAATTAATATCATCATAAAATGTAATATACTTAATTCAACATAAAATAATAAAATTATTAAATCTATAAAACAATAAATAAAAACTAAAAATAAATTCCTCAAGTAAATGAGAAGAGAATTAATTTTGGCGGAAGTGCAGTGATTATTACCGGATGTGCAGTAAAGTCGTGCATTAATGTCGTGCATTAACGATAATATAAAGTGCAGTAATTTTAATTGGACGAAATTAGTGCAAAATGCACATATTTTAAATAAGAGTAATTTGGTCATTCAACCTTTAAATAGAAACGAGATTTTTTTTTTTTTGGATTTTCGGTCATAGATAAGTCTAAAAACTAGTTAGGTCATATATTTAGAAACTCATTAAGTTTTAGTCATATTTTAGTAAATTTCCCTAAGTTTTATAATGCTTAAATGAGAAATCATCATGTCAGGCCGGCCTGACGGGCTGCCCCGTCCGGCCGAGCCCGTTTGGGCACCTTCCCAGTGGAATTTTTTGATGAAATTTTTTGAGCATGTTCCTCATCAAGTCTAGTTTGTCCATACCAAATTTCAGCTCAAAATTCGATCGGGAAGGTCGTCAAATGATTTTTGCAAGTTAACTCGGCCGGACGGGGCAGCCCGTCAGGCCGGCCTGATGAGAAGAGCTCTCATGCTTAAATTACATAAAATAGACAATCTAAAAATTGTACAACTTTTAGCATCTCGAATAACACATAACATTCCTTTCAAAAAAAAAAAACTCTGTAACACATAACATCTAGAAAAATCAATAACTACTAATGCATAGTAAATTTTTAGGACTCCCGTAAAAATGGCCCCCGATGCCAAGCACATGTAGCACCTAGGGATGGTAATGGGGTGGGTTTGGGGCGGGGGTACACTCCCCCATCCTCCACCCCATGTCTAAAAAGTTCCGCCCATCCCCGCCCCATCCCCGCCCCACCCCCATTGTCCCCCACGGGTGCCCACGGGTGCACCCATATAAATTTAATTTATCGTATTTGCATATACTTTTAATCTCTTATTATAAATATATGTAGTCCGATTCCAATGAAAACGATGCTTAACGTGGGAACACTCACATTTAATCTAATATGATACACAATAATCCAATGTGACACACAATAGAGCCATTCTAGTGCACATTTGAACTTCGCTCAATACAAGTTAATATAAATAATCACGGCGGCACTTTTGTAAATATTATGCTAGATACAAAAAAGTGCATTGTGCGAGCCCATTGTGCTTCACATTGGGGGTAAATGTGGTGTTCGCACGTTCTCATGTTAAACGTTGTTCTCATTTGATCCTAAGCCTATATATATCTACGCGCACACAGTGATATATGACACACACACACGCAACACTGATATATTGTGTTTGTTAAAAGTTAATACCACCAATTTTAATAATTCTTCAATTTGAATAAGTTTTGTGAATTGAAGACAATTAAAGTAAAAATATAAGTAAACATATATCATCATGTACGTTGTTTCAAAATTATCAACAATTATAATACAATTAATTACATATTATATTACATATAAATGTTTGTGTATTTATTTACTCACTTTCTCACTCTTAAAAATATTTATCATAAATAACATTTATGATAAATATTTTTAATCATCACTAGCTTATTATTATTCTAGTATAATATGTATTAATTCATTAACCATGATTAAACCGTATACAATTATGTATGTCTATATGTATATGCGTTTGTTATATACTACAAATAATTTAATTTAATATGTGTATATATATACATGTTTGAGCATATATTTATAACGGGGACAAGGCGGGGACAGGGCGGGTGTAGCAATACCCGTCTCTCACCCCATATTGTAACGACGTAAAAAAATTTCACGCATCCCAGCCCCCACCCGCCCCAAGCCCCGCCCCATCCTTCCCCCGCGGGGCGGTTCCCCACGGGTCCCCGCCGCCATTGCCATCCTTAGTAGCACTAGCACCTCTTAAAAGAGGCTCTGAAATTAGGCAGAGGGTTTTTTCTGCCTAAGAGTGTGTTGGGCGTCTGGGTTTTAGACGGGAAGAGCCATAAAGTGTTCATTTCTTTAAGAAATGAACACTTCAAAACTACAAGGTTCGTATTATAGTTAAGGGAGTGCTTATAATTATTCCTCACTTTTCTAGTAGTAATAGTTTATCTAATCAACAGACTGAACACTACCATTCAAGATTCAAGATGTGCAAAATAATCACGAATAGATCAATTAACAGTTAACACACCTACAGAATTCTGAGCATAGTCGAGAGTGGAATTCGGAAAGTAACAGAAAAGCACGTACCCAGACCGGGAAGACGGAAGGTTAATGGAGTATTATCATCCGATTCCATTTGTATGTTATTGGGGGTTGGACCCTTCAGAGTATCTCCATCTAAACGAAAAGGCGCAAACAGATTTGCGTTATATTTTCCGGAACCTCTGCGCTGGGTTGAAATCAAAATAAATTGAATTATAACCAAATCAAATTGAATCGTAAAAAATCAAAACGAACTGCCGGTTTGATTTTGGTTTGGATCTTTCAAATCAATAGCGAATTCAACTATTTTTTTTACTGGAATAGCGAATTCAACTATATAAATTGAATTAATTATAATAGAAGTATGAAATTATATTTGATAAGTATGAAATTATATTGAAAAAAGGGGCAAACAAGGACACGTACTAACAAAAAAAAAAGTCAAATAAGGCCTTATTTAACAGACTCTGTCCGTCCGTCGCCATTTGGGGTGGTTCCCGATGAAATTTTTTGATGAAATCTTTTGAGCATCTTATTCAATAAATCTAGTTTACTCATACCAAATTTCAGCTAAAACTTCAATTGAGAAGACATTCAAATGAATTCTTGAAGATAACTGCGCTTTTAACTACGCAGTTATTTTCAATAATTCATTTGAATGCATTCCCGATTGAAGTTTTAGCTGAAACTTGGTATGCGTAAACTAGACTTATTGAATAAGATGCTCAAAAAAATTATCAAAAATTCCACTGAGAACCAGTAGGGATGGCAATGGGGCGGTTCAGGGACGATTTTACATATAACCGTACCCGCCTCGTTGGATAATTTCCCCACCCCATAACCGCCCCATTACCCAACGGGTAATTTTTACTCAAACCATAACCGCCCCAACGGGTAACGGGTAAAATTTCGGGTAACCGCGGGTAACCGTTTTATTAAATGAATCATTAATTTTTTTATATAAAAATAATATTTTAAAAGCCGAAAAATTGCATTGCCTAGACGACTCTAGACTTTAGACGCCACTTTAAAGATCCATATATCTACAAGATGAGAAAGGAAGCAACTAAAATTAATTTGAACCTAAAAATACTTAATCTAAAAAATAATTAATCACGAAAAAATATGATAATAATAAAAAAAGTCTATTAAAATCTATTTTGAACTTTCATTCATACATTATAGTTTGTACATCTATAATCTGTATATACATAATGGAAAGAGAAATTTTTCATCTTTTAATATTTGTGGGACAAATAATAAATAAAAATGTAATAAAAATATAACTAAAAATAAACGGGGTGGGTACGGGGTGGGTAATGGGGCGGGCATGTATAAAACCATAACCGCCCCATTACTCGTAAAAACAAAACGGGTACTCCCCGCCCCGTACCCGTTACCCAGTCAATTCGGTTTTTCCCGTTTTGACCGGGGTGATCCGGTGCAGGTATCCGTCGGTTCGGTCACAATTGCCATCCCTAGATCAGGCTGGATCAGACTTGGACAATTATAAAATACACAGAGACCAGACATCTACCAGACCATATAAGACCAGTTCAGAAGGAATCAGATCAAACCAAACCAAATCAGACCGGAATATTCTAGTCCAAGTAAAAACATCCTTAATTGATAGAACCACATATGAAGATGTGCTATCAATTGACACCACTCAAATATTTTTGTAATTATATATATAAAGGATTTTTTTATTCTAAAAAAAAGGTCTAAAATGAATTGAAAATAAAATGTCAGAATAAACACTAAAAGCAATTAGAGCATATTTGTCCTATATAAACAAATATGAATTGACTTGTACAGACAAAAAATGATACTCCATATAACTTTTGAAAATAATAGATCAAGAGTGAAATAGAACAAATTTTCATTAAAAATTCAGTACGGGTTTTAATAATAAAATAGTCGGGTAAATGAAAATGTGTAGTGAGGCGTAATTAAACGGAAAAGTAGGAAAGAGAATGGATTAATAGATGAAATTAAGTATGTGGAGGAGGAAAGGAAACAGAAAAACAATGATAATCCAAGGAAAGAGAGGATGACTTTTCCATCTTTCCATGCGTACAAAAAATTAAAGGGCCCTACTTCCCTTTCCTATTGCCGCCCAAACAAGGAGAAGATTACATTTCCCTCCAAATCAAGCCCTACAAGACCCACTATAAATACAAAGGGCTATATATTTTTAGACTTCTATCCCAAAAATTGCAAAACAACAAATGTAATCAGCTTTTCTGCACATCTGAGCCAGTAAAAGAACCAAGAAGCATCACTCTATCCGCACATCTTTTCAAGCAGATCTATTCTTCACATGAGTGCAACAGCTTCTGATTGTTTTCCTCCAGAAGAGATGCTGCTGATAGAGCTGGGGCTTGCAGCTGAAGAAGATGAAGCTGATGCAGATTTTGAAGATGACCGCCCATTTCTTGAGAACACAGAACCAAACACACAACATTCTGAAGGTAATGTACCTGCAAACAAATATACATCAATGAGCATGACAAAAAGAAGGATAATAGCAGAAGATTTGTTATCAAAGGC